GGATGGCCCTCTCGGTGGTGGTGGTCCTGCTGCTCTCCATGCTTTACGAGGCCGTCAAGATGGGGAAGGCCGTGCTGCTGCGGCGGGCGCTGCTGGCTCTGCCCCACAGCCTCAGCCGGGAGGAGCTGGTGGAGCCGGATGACGGGGACACCAGCCCCACAGAGGGCAGGTACCGCAGGACACCCCACTTCTTTGGATGGGGGGGGCTGAGGGACGGGCACAGGAGGGGAGAAAAGCTGCGAAGAGGCAGCCATAGGTCCCAGGATGGGGTGTGAAACCTTCGGGGGCATCCTGGCTCCTCCGGGGACTTGGGGGGATGTTGGGGGGGGTTCAGTTGTCTTTTAAGTGCTCGGGTTCCCCCAGGAGCCACCGTGGGTGCAGAAGGGTCCTTGTGGGTGCAGGAAGGTCCTCATAGGTGCAGGAGGGTCCTCGTGGGTGCAGAAGGGTCTTTGTGGGTGCAGGAAGGTCCTCGTGGATGCAGGAGGTTCCTTGGTGCAGGAGGGTCCTCATGGGTGCAGGAAGGTCCTCGTAGGTGCAGGAAGGGTCTCGTGGGTGCAGGAGGGTCCTTGTGGGTCTAGGAAGGTCCTCGTGGGTGCAGAAGGTTCCTCGGTGCAGGAGGGTCCTTGTGGGTGCAGGAGGGTCCTTGGTGCAGGAGGGTCCTCATGGGTGCAGAAGGGTCTTTGTGGGTGCAGGAAGGTCCTTGTGGGTGCAGGAAGGTCCTCGTGGGTGCGGAAGAGTCCTCATAGGTGCAGGAAGGTCCTCGTAGGTGCAGGAAGGTCCTCGTGGGTGCAGAAGGGTCCTCGTGGGTGCAGGAGGTCCTTGTAGGTGCAGGAGGGTCCTTGTGGGTGCAGGAGGGTCCTTGGTGCAGGAGGGTCCTCATGGGTACAGGAAGGTCCTCGTGGGTGCAGGAAGGTCCTCGTGGGTGCAGAAGGGTCCTCGTGGGTGCAGACAGGCTGGAGAGGTGGGTCTGTGGTCCCCTGCACCTGGGAAGAGTCCTCATAGGTGCAGGAAGGTCCTCGTAGGTGCAGGAAGGTCCTCGTGGGTGCAGAAGGGTCCTCGTGGGTGCAGGAGGTCCTTGTAGGTGCAGGAGGGTCCTTGTGGGTGCAGGAGGGTCCTTGGTGCAGGAGGGTCCTCATGGGTACAGGAAGGTCCTCGTGGGTGCAGGAAGGTCCTCGTAGGTGCAGGAAGGTTCTCGTGGGTGCAGGAGGGTCCTTGTGGGTCCAGGATGGTCCTCGTGGGTGCAGGAGGGTCCTCGTGGTTCAGGGATGGACACAAGTAGCATCTGGGGCACCCCAGCGATGCTGGCCTGGGTTTTGCTTCCCATCGGTGCCAAGCCCTGGGTTTTTCCTCTTGTCTCGAATCCCAGACCGTGCCCAAGGCAGCTCTTACTGCCAACCCCTTAATAATTGTCCTCTCCGTTCCCCGTGGGGCGGGATTCCCCCTTGTGCTGCCCTTTGCAGCCCCCGTTCCTCTCCCCGCTCCCCAAACCCATCTCTGGCTCCTCTGGGATGCTCGTGATGGTGGAAGATGCCAGCTGCCCCAGCCCCTCACTGGTGGGAGTGTCCCACACTGGGGGGAAGGGATGCCATCCTGAGGGACCTGGACAGGCTGGAGAGGTGGGTCTGTGGGAACCTTGTGAAGTTCAAGCAGGCCAAGTGCAAGGTCCTGCACCTGGACCAACCCCAATCAGGGCAATCCCAGGCACAAATACAGGTTGGGCAGAGATTGAGAGCAGCCCCGAGGAGAAGGACTTGGGGGTGTTGATGGATGAGAAGCTCGACAAGAGCCAGAAACGTGAGCTGGCAGCCCAGAAAGACCTCTGCACCCTGGACTACATCAAAAGAAGCATGGCCAGTAGGGTGAGGGGGAGGATTCTGCCCCTCTGCTGCGCTCTGGGGAGACCCTACTTGGAGTCCTATGTCCAGCTTTGGAGTCCTCAACATCAGAAGGACGTGGAGCTGTTGGAGCGGAGCCAGAGGAGGCCACGAAGATGCTGGGAGGGCTGGAGAACCTCTGCTGTGGGGACAGGCTGAGAGAGTTGGGGGGGTTCAGCCTAGAGAAGAGAAGACTCTGGGGAGAACTTCGAGCCCCTTCCAGTCCCTCAAGGGGCTCCAGGAAAGCTGGGGAGGGACTCTTGGTCAAGAAGTGTAGCAACAGGACAAGGATTTGACACTGGAAGAGGGGAGATGGAAATGAGATGTGGGGAAGAACTTCTTTGGTGTGAGGGTGGTGAGAGCCTGGCCCAGGTTGCCCAGAGAAGCTGTGGCTGCCCCATCCCTGGAGGGGTTCAAGGCCAGGTTGGAGGGGGCTTGGAGCAACCTGGGCTGGTGGGAGGTGTCCCTGCCCGGGGCAGGGGGTGGCACTGGATGGTCTTTAAGGTCCCTTCCCACCCAAACCATTCTATGATTCTTCCGTAGGTGGTTTCGGTACCACGTTGGGCAGACGCTGTTCCACGTGGTACAGGTGGTGCTGGGCTACATGGTGATGCTGGCCGTCATGTCCTACAACGCCTGGATCTTCCTGGGGGCCATCGCGGGCTCCACTCTGGGCTACTTCGTGGTGTACCCCCTGCTCGGTCGGGGCTAGGTGACACCCCCCGGCCATCCTCCCCGGCATGGTGGCCTTCACACCTCCCTCCACTTGGTCTGGAATAGCTGCTGTCACTTCTGCTGGGTCTGTCCTTGTCCCCGTGCTGTGCAGGACACAGCAACCCCGGGGACCTGCTGCGGGGACCCCCTCAGAGCTGGGGGTCCCATGGCCAGCACCCTGCCACGCTGCCACCTTCCTTCCCTCAGCTTGGTGGCTGTCCCCCGGCTCTCAGGGAGCTTTAGGCTGGGTGATGACAGTGTGTGTGTGTGTTTTGAGGGGGGGGGTGTTGCTGGGCATCTCCATCCCCCACCCAATTTTTAGCGGGGGGGTTCGTTCTGGCTGGAAGAGGAATGGTCCAGGGAAGGGGATATGCTGGGGACATCCCAGAGCTGCCCTGCACCGAGCATCTTCTCACATAGTGCCTTCTGGGGATAACACGGGGGGGTGGTCAGGTCCTGTTGTCCCCCCAACCCACCCCCCCTCTCCTCTGCAGTGCTTCAGGGATGGGGTGGGGGCACCCCCGTGCCGAGGGGAAGCTGTGGGTGCCTCTTGCTGCTTCCTCGGGACACCCCTTTTAATAAAACCATCTCCATCATCTCAAGTCCTGGCTTGTGTTGGCCCTGGGGGTGTGACACCCCCTCCCGTCACAGCGGGAGGGGGGGACCCCCAGCCTTACCCCTCCCCAGCACAGCCTTGGGTGGGGGGGTGGGGGGCGGTTCAGGAATAAGGACAGTCTCCTCTGGCTTTAAATAAAGCTTTTCCATTTTATTAATTATTATAAGCGTATTTTTTAAACATTTGTATAACTTTCTCAATAAAATATCCTGGAAGAAGACAGGGTTTAAGTTCCCAAAGCA